TCCTGCATGTGGGAGGCACGCTCCCCCACTGACAATGGAAGCTGCTACAGAGAGGAAATTTTAGAAACAAATACATTGCATTGCTATCATAGCCATAAATAGTATCAAAAATGGGGATTAATATAAAGATCATGAGGATTATAACATGAAGCTTAAAGCTCTGGAACAGTTGGTATTTAGGAGATATACAAGGTTTTCATCTGACAACAGCTGTTTATTTTTAGCCACAATGTTATCTGCAACAAAACATAGAAATGTGACTGACACTAAGTGTTTGTATATAGGGTTTGTATATAGGGTGATGCAGTGAATTCCACCTGAGCAGCTTTACAGCCTGCAGGTGACACACCTGAGCTGTCACTGACCCTCCTGTCTCATCATCATGCTGCTCATGGAGCTGCAGTTTGGGGTCATTACCATCAGGTGACTCTAACGAGGTGTTCCAGCTCCACAGTCTAATTAAGGAGAGAAGGATTGATGTGATGGGGATGTGTGAAATCTGCTTAAAGCCAAATGAAGCTGTCTTCTGTAAAGGGCAGTAAAGTTATTCCTGATACCTGTTATGTCATGTGGGAGCTCATCGTGTCCTGATTTCATCTCCCACTTCTGACTGACAACAGTTTAATTACTGAGACCGTCCACGGCATGAAACAACAGAGCTGGTCATTTTCCGGATCACCCGCATGAGTAATGTATGTCAGGGGCAGAGGCAGAATTAGAGCATTGTGTTGTAAGAGCACTAAAAAACCCTTTTCTGTTACCAGAAAATGGTCTTTCTTTTTTGTGTCATAGCAACACTGAATATGGGTCTCACCATGACTCCCATGACCCTCTAGGGTGGAAAACTTGTTGTAATAATCAGTGATTTTAATATTCATTTCAATAATGGTACTTTTGTAAGCAGGGCTGGATTCACCAGGTTTTCTATTCTTCTTCATATTTGACCATTTATTTACACACAAACAGCTTAGATTAGGTCCAAATGTTGGTTTCTCTAGAAGAAATTAAGAAAAAAAAACTGTTGTAACACTGGGAATGCACTGCCTGAGCTGTGTGTGCGTGGCAGCTGTGTCACTAAACTGCCAGCACTTTCTCTCTCCATCATAGACAGTAAATAAAGATGGATGAAGCATCTTTGACGTCACCCAAAGGTTTCTGAAGAGCAGTTTTGAAGCTCAGAGTGACCTGCTCCACCATTGCTATCTTGACAGTGTCTGACTCCGCCCCTAACTCCTAGCTAATCCGAAAATCGGCGGAGAAGGTGGGGCGTGTGTCACCCACCTGCCACGCCCTCAAATATACATCATTTTAAGCCTTAAAAAAATAAATAAGTGAGTTTTATAAAATTTGCCCCCCAGTAAAGTTGTCATGAAGGAGGAAATTACATTGAAAAATATTGTGAATGATAAGAATGACAATGCAACAGGTGCAGCTGATTAAAATTAAACCAATAAAAATCCCCAAACTAACTCTAAATTTCTGAATACCAGTATTGTTGAAATGAAATGGAAATATTGACAGTATTTCAAATCTGAAATTTCAAATATCTGATCAGTCATCATCATCAGGGTTCAGATAGCTCTTCTCTTCTCCTTAGTGGTCTCCTATTTGTCCACACAGACACAGTCTGTCCACGATACCATCATTTCAACTATTTGTCAGTATGTGATAGACATAAACAGCAATAAAAACACATCTGAATAAGCTCATGACTCAGACTTTTAATTGGGCCTTTTTCCATAACAATCTGTGACCTGGAGCTTCATAGAACCTGAACCTGCGGGGTCCACGTTCCAGGTTCTGCTTTGCTTTCCACCACCCAGAAGGTTTCTGATAAACAGTCCAGACAGCGAGTATGTGGACAGTTACGCATTTGTTCTTCAGGCTCTGAGCTTCAACACAAATGTGATAAACCTAATCATGGTAATGATTCACAAATAAATGAGGAATAACACTGCTCAGTTTTGTCCCTGTCACATCCTGTTGGTGAGCGCAGCCATATGTCTACCTGTGTTGTAATTGAGAATGCAGAGCTCCAGGTGTTGCTTTGGCCAGACTTATTAAAAGGAAGATGGAGCACACAGCCGTTGCCATGGTTACTCAGTGTTTTTGCATGGAGGCACCAATGAAGGAGGTGGGAACCAAAGGTCCTGAGCAGAGAGAGAAGTTTTAATAGATCTATAATATTTCATGAGACTGTGTGAACTGGTTTCACTGTGTCAGTTTGAAAAGACAAATGAGCAACACAGGAATAAAGAGGGTTATGAGATTTTAGGGAGGTTTGTACTGCTCTGAATAGCTCTGCTCCTGGGGCATCCTTTCCAAGTTAGACTAAATGTATGATCCCTTCAGTTGGACATGCCTGGAAAGCATAATAGAATCTTAATAGAATCCAGGAGGTCTGGGTCTGTGTTTTACTAAAAGTAGTTTCTCATCACCTGAGGTAGGAGAAACTCTGGTAACACTTTATTTTGATAGTCCACCTACAGAGAGTTTACATTTGTATTTGTAACATTTCAAAAGGGTATTAGTTGTTAATTTGATATTTGTATATCCATTGTTGAACTCTCAGTCTTGAGCAGTGAGACAGTAGTAGAATAGTTGTTGTAGAGATACGTTTTGATATCAAAATAGAGTTTATTATTTAATTTGAATAGTCTTTTGTGTGTCTGTGGTGGTTTTACCCTTTTGATATTAGCTTGTTTGTTAATAGTTATTGTATAATTCACATTCTGGCTGCAGCTAAAGCTAATCATGACTCTGGAAACACAGTTTGTAGTGGTCATAGCCTTAAAGAATCTCAGCTGTTGAAATTATTCATCCAGATAAAAACCTGTTCTTGAGATCTACTTTTCTTTTTATGTGTCCATTAATCAATCATCTATAAATGAAGGAGATTTCATGGATTACTCAATCAGTAAAACTGGTGTTACATGTAGAACTTAATCAAAGGATGATGGTCCTATACAGACAGGGTAACCCCAGTCACTCAGTATAAAAGTGTCTCTGAAGCTTAGCTCTTTCGAGGAAATTCATTGTAGCTTTCGATGTCATTTCAGAGGAATCCTCATGGTGAGATAACACACTGGCCCTCTGAACTACCTGAACAAAGCATCAGTTGTACGCTGGGCTCCTCACTGTGTCACTGACTCTGAGCTCAGATCCTCTGTGCATCAAACTCCACTCCACTTCATCTGAGCTCATTTTCTCTGTCACTTCCCACAGCTCACAACGACAGCATATGATGAAGCACACACTGACAGTTAAATAGAGAGCTGAGTTAAAAGAAAGCAAAGGCCCCATCGTCAAGCCAGAACACAGTGACCTGTCTGTAGAAGTCATGGCGAGTGGCCAATCAGCTCTCCAATTCTGTTTCTTACAAAAAATAAAAGTTCGTCCATTGTGCTGCTGTCAAGCAATTTTGAAGGCTTCTCTCATTAACAACCACAATTCAACAAAACACAAAAAAGACAGAACATGAAAAAAACTTTCAATACTCATATGAATGTGACAAGGTCCTTCACTATCTGACGATCCTCCATTTTACCATAACCACTGATGAGTGTATCCTATTAATAACAAGTATATGTGTACGTGCTTGTGACTGTGAACAGTTTAATCCTCTATGCCACAATGCTGCATTGTCCACAAGCTACTAAAAACACATCACTCCGCCACACTGCTGTACGGTGGCCCTGAGAGCTCAACGCACCGCAGCTTAAGAAAACACATGTAAACAGACAAAACACAAACAAATTCAGAAACCTTCATCAATTTGACAACACATGTGCTGCAAATACTCACAACTGAAGCGTTTGCTAGGACGCATTTTCATGCATGTATTATAATACATGCATGAAAGAGCCTCCCTGCCAGCTAGGTTCAGATGCACCCTGCCAGCAACACTGTCTGCAGTCAGCAGTACCGAGGATGATGTCAGGGCCCAAAGCCAAGGAGTCCCACATGCCTGGCAATGACCCCATCAGATCAGCTCTGGAGCTTTTGATCCTATCACATGGTCTTCATCAGCAGATGGAGTTAGCCCCATTGGTATAAAATTGTATGTTATTTTGTATTTCTTGTTTCTCTGCACTTAAAGACCTTTCAGCCTTTTGTTGTCTTGAACGCTGAGGCACAAGGTGCGTTATTTTATTCATCGTGTGTTTACACAGCTGAAGAAGCAGCGACAGCATCATGTTCAAAGAGATTTAATCACAAACATCAGAAACAACTTCCATATAAATGATTATATTATGATGATGTTCACAATGAGTAAGGTGCACTCAGTGAAAGTAAATTTGGTGATGTAGATAGATTTCACCATGTTGATTATACAGTATAAGTCGTGATTATTTTTCCTGATTATGTTTCCTTTAAACTAATGAAAACACACTTTAACACACTGTGAAACCATCTCTGTCGTGACATGAATAACATCACATCATATCATTCAACATACTCTTTACAAGTTTACACCAACTGAAACTCTCAACTCCACATACATGTTCTGACACTTTTGATCAGGTTAATGAAACAGTAACAGCAGTTGTCAAGTTGTCATGTAAGTAAGGACCTCTCCGTTGCGAGAGCACAGAGAGAGCTGCACAAATGATCTACTCAGACAAGTGACTATTCCTGATGTCTCCTTATAGAACACAGTGATCTGTGGGGGGCACAGACCTTTTACAAACTTGGCTTGGTTCCTAATCTTGTGTTACATTTCATCATACCATATGACCTGAACAGGCTCTAACAGGCTGTAAATGCTCCACCTGTGTGAAACAGACCAAACTGACTGCAGCTATATTAGCATTACATTAAGCCAGTGGTTCCCAACCTGCAGGCCGCGGCTCACCAGTGGGCCACGAAGGTATCGCAAGTGGGCCGTCAAATCATTTGCAAAACACATCAATTTTGGTGAAAAGATGTAATTATATAAAACACATAAAATATAAATAATGTTTTTAAATGTTTTAAAATGAAATGATCTTTATAATCATAAAAAATGTGATTAACCAATGATTTTATGTTGTTGCTGGGCGCAACGCAGCAAATACTTGTTTACTATTCAGTCTGATTGCACGCTAACAGATCTATGACAAAAAGAATCAAAATAAATAGCTGGTTGACAACAGGAGAAGTCAAAAGGAAAGAGAGGCAAAGACAGATTATTAAAATAAAAAACTGGTTGTTGGCCGCCAAAAGTTTCAAGGTTTTCAAGTGGGCCTTGAGTTGGAAAAGACTGGGAACCACTGCACTGAGTAATACATACCCACTGCTGGGTACAAACTGTACTGAGCTTTTCAAATACAAACAGTGACAACAAGTCACAGTTATTGTGAAATGTACATATAAGGGATTGAAAATATAGGTTGCACAGTAAACCAACCTTGGACCAGACTGACAGAGAACTGGAACCCTGAACAGCTGTCTCATGTGATAGCCATTAACACATCAGAATAAGCTCATGACTCAGACTTGTCATTAGGCCTTTTTCCATTGCCACCTGTAACCTGGAGCTTCACAGAACCTGAACTTGTGAGGTCCATGTTCTAAACCAGAGTGGGGACTTTAAGCAGTGACGGGTGAAGTGGTGGCTACGGCACCTTAATATATTTCAATACTTTGTCGTAGTGATGAAAATCAAAGATCACTAAGCAACATTTAACTCTAACAATGGCTACTTCACTTCTTCAGGAAACCGAGGCCGCTCTGAGCATCGCTACAATATGTCTCTTAAAAGGATGAGAGGAGGAGTTTGTTTAAATCCGTCTGTTACTTCAGCACCACGGACAGCGTCATGGTTTCATCAACCCACAGCACAGTCAGTTTGTGGGCTAGAGAGAGAGGATGGAGGTTAACAACAGTTTTAGTGTTTGGCTAGTGGAACATGAGCCAGTTGCTACTTACTGTGGTTGCCTCTCAGCATCTTGAGCGCTGCTGGCACCAGCTGACATGTCTATGACTAAACTGGAAAAATCAGTCAAATTAGCAGCTATCTTTAACAAATATATTCCATAAATCTAGCAACAGTTTAATGGAATATAACTGAAATGACAGAGTTCAATATGACAAAAACCTATAATTACTTGCTAAGTCTTTGACATATCACAGGGCAAACTGGTCTTTCTCCTGTAGCAGACAGATGGGCTGCGACAGTAGGAAGTGTCCACATGAATGCTACGTCATCACATCACACCATAGCCGTCCCTTCAAGTGTCACTGCTTAAAGTCCCTAATGTTTCTGATTGGCTTTCCAGACCTGTACGCGTTTTGTTCTTCAGGCTCTGAGCTTATGGATAATAGATACTACATTAAAGTGCCTTTGAGTATGTTTCTGTCCATACTGAAAGAACTGTAAACAAGATATGGTGCGTTTAACACCAGGCTATATCGTTTTGTAATGCTGCAAACCATCTGTCACACTCAACCTTGACATTTTAATTCAATACTACCTCCAGTGCTGAAGTTCAGGTTCAGGAACTTGAGTACAAAACCAGAACCTCAAGTTATAGGCCAGTAAGATCCTGTGGTGGAGAAAACCAATATCATTCATTGTCAGTTTTTTAATTTCATTGCACAACAACTCATGACTCCAGACCCTGGCCTAAATGTGCAAACCCAAACTCAAGACCTGGTGGACTGCATGTACAGTGTGGTTGTACAACCATTCAAGAAGTCATATCAGTAAATTAAAAAGAGAAAAATCCCAATCCCTCTCAAAATTATAGCTCAGTCAAATCTTAACAAACACGACTCATACTGATTTAGATGAGAATGACTTGCAATTTCCAAAGATTTTATTACCGTCCACAAATCACAGACAACAGACAGAAAGGTTGTGCTGATGGAAGATGGTGAGCCATGATCTTTACCAATGTCAAGACAATTAATTGGCTCGTCCATTAATGTAGTAGCTTATGTTTTTATTACTTGTACTAGTAAATTAATATTAATTTTAGTTTGCCCTGCCATAGTTTTATACATCAGCATCCCCTGTTTGCAACACCAACACACTCGCTCCGACTGACTGACTGCCACAGCAGCACTGTTCGTTGTGTGTAGGCGTGGAGGAGATCGACACACAGAACACGTCACTTTGTTTGGTTTCTTAGTCTGGTGTTTTTTTTGTGGTTGTTAATAGAACTTTCAGTCCTAACATGGAAGTGATGGCCTTAATTCATTCTGTGGTCATACTGGTTCCCAGTTCAGCCTGTTAGGAGTGATTTGGTGTCTAAAGGGTGATCCACAGAGGCTCTGGTAGCTGAGGGAGGCACAAAGTGATTTTATTGTCACTCATGTATGTAAGACTGTCTATATACACATCTGACGTTCATTTACTCTGCACACAACACTGAGCTCTGCATCCTTGCTCCTGCATTAGCGTTTTAGTCATCATTTTTGACTCTTTCTTTTTAATATGTGCTCATATGTGTTAGATGTTGTGCATCTCAGGCTCAAACTCTCTCAGAATTGTTCCAGAGCGTCATGTGAGCAGAGCCAAGGCACCAGACTAAAATATATATTTACAGCCCTTGTCTCACAGAGAATCACATGACACAAGCACACTGACTCTGAGACACATCACTAGTGTGAGTTTCTGTGGTCTATTGAGGCACATTACTCCACCATTACTGCCATGGAGGGTGGGGGAATAAAATCAGTTCATCTTCCTGTATTCGTCTCACTTCCTACTTGAAAACTGTTTTTGTGCATTAAAGTCAGTCAGCCCGGTGAAAGACACTGTCCTCTCTGGACAGACAGCTGGAGGACGGAACAGGACAATTCCCAGTAAGATGAAACACTCTGAATGAGGATGGAGGCTCCTGAATTTGTCTGGGTGCAGCTCCGGGTATTGAGAGGACCGATGCGGTGTCACCTGTCCTCAGTGGGGGTTGTTGAGCCCTCCGTTGGTCAGAGTCAGTTTGCTCCACCTCCTGTTACTGAGGAGTTTACGGTTCTGTTGAACCTTCACTCGAACGTCAAAAACCTCCTGGATGGCTTTCTTGAAGCAGTGGAAGTTGTAGTCGATGAGTCCTGCGTGGGACAGAGAGAGGAGACGTATCAGGTCTGTTCCAGGTCTGAGAGCGAAGAACCTTTAAAACCCTTTGTTAAACATACAAGACCATAAACTTCCACCAAGGAATAAAGGGCAGATAAAGACCGTAAAGGAACTCAGTACCTGCCGTACTGACCCAAATATAAAATTAAATCATTGTCTTCTTATAATCAGAGCCATGCTCTATATGTTCACACACAAGGTCAGTATAGTTTCTTTGGGTTAGTATGACTCAGTGATTTTATTAAACATTGGTTGTATGAAGCATTATCACAAACTTATGTTGTATCTAATAGAAACATATCTTTTAATAATAGTCATTTTGCATTCATCAGTCATTCATATCAATAATATTCCAATTTTATTACAAAATTCTAAAATGTCATATTTATTTAAAAAACTGCTGTTTAGTAATGGCAATACTGTAAGTCAGGCCTGAGACCTGAACAATCTACTATTACTAATAAAAACAATAATGATCCATCCATCCATCTATTTTCTTCCCCTTATCCGAGGTCGGGCGGTGGAGGCAGCAGATCAGGCAAAGTAGTCCTGATGTCTCTTTCCCCAGCTGCGTTTCCAGCTCCTCCTGTCGTCTGTGTTCTGTCTGTGTTCCCAGACCAGATGAGATCTACAATCTCTCCAGCGTGTTCTGGGTCCACCCTGACGTCTCCTACTAGTTGGACGTGCCTGGAAGACCTCCACCGGGAGGCAGTCAAGGCGGCATCCTAACAAGACTCCCAAGATAAACGGGTTCCAGGGGAATGGCCAGACTAAGAGTGATTCAAAAACCACCTGATGATTTGCCAACTTTTTGTGAATGCGTCACCTCACCCAGATCAGGGAAACCGGGGCACGCTCCTGGAGCCAGACCTGAGAGAAGAGCTTGCCATCTGGTGGGACAGCCCAAAAAAACTACATGGAAACAGCTCCCTGTGGGCCAGCCAGCTGCAGGAATAGACAGCTCTAGGTAATAATAACGATAATAATTTAAATTCATTTGTGATATGCTTCTCTCTTACTGAAGAGATTTCAGCCCGAATGTCAGAGGACAATGAGTTGATTTTACTGCAAATATTCTCTTTCAGTAAATCTAACACATCTTATAGTTATCCCTGATTGGAGGCACTCTCAGTGCAGACATCCTGCCTCTGCAGCAAAACAGGATCAGCCAAGTGTGAGGCTGCATGTGCAGAGTCCGCTCTTGTATGAGAGGACAACATTGTCGTAAAGTGTAAAAAAAAGCACATAAATATATATATATATATATATATATACACACATATGTATATGAATGTGCTTCACAGGAACTTAATTTTAAAAAACTGTTAAGCAGAAAACAAAATGACTGAAGTCATCATTATTTTTTGATATTATGATAAAACATTAAACACAATAATTATAAAACCAACAGAAAAAAATGTATACAGAGCAAAAATAAAAATTGAAGAGCTTACAAGGTTGGATCAGCTCAATGAAATGCCAGGAATGTATTTAATTTCTTTTTCTAAAGTAGCAGCTGAGTTCACTGCCTCAGCTGAGAAACATTAGCAAAAATCCAAAGGAATGGCAGTGGAGGGTCTGAGAGGTCTTATTGGAAGATGAAATTAAAGGCAGCTACTGACACACGAAAGTCAAGATTGTGGAAGAAAAAGTACTGTGTGCCAGATACAAGCAGTCAGTGCAGTGTCACATCACTACATGTTTAAAGTGTAAAACATTCTGATAGGAAAGAGAAATGTAAGTTGATCAGTTAATAATGTTTATGCTCAACAATAGAGTCATAGAAAATATCCACCATTTGTCTGAAAGTGAAGTGAAGTCTTGAGGTATGGCTAAGAAGTGTTTTGTGAGGTCACACTGAGCTTAACCTTTAACTTTTGACCCCCAAAATCTAATCAATTCATCCCTCAGTCCTAGTGAATCTCTGTGCCAAATTTCCATCATGGCGTTACTGAGATATCGTGCCCATGAGAATGGGCCGGACAGATAACACGAAAAACAAAATGGCTGTGACTGTCGCCGGCACAGAGACATAAACAAAACAAGCACAGCAGAGATCGTAAACAGATTATAGTCTGTGCTTCCATAACTTTGCCTTAGATGCGAGTCAACAGTTGATGATCTCCATGGGGACCATTAATCTGAACAGCAGCAACATAAGGCTGACAAAGACAGACTAACCAACTACAGTGGAAACAGAGCTACACCGCATGTACGAGGACAGACACAGCTGTCAGTACGAAGCCACAAAAGGCTTATATAATGTAACAATTAAATTAATTCATGCATTATAATTAAATCTCTTATTATTACATAATAAAGGGTTTAATTTTGGGGAATTTCATTGGCTGTGTGTATTCTTGTAGCAGTGATTAAGATGCTTCAGATAATCTCTTTATGCATTCAGTAGTATATAACCAACTGCTGGTAAATGCTGCAGCTCCTCTCTTTAAACACACAGTGAAGTGTTACAGTCCATGTCTTCCAGTGTGAGTGTTAGTGGGGATTTGATATTCTCGGTTCGTGTGGCTGCTGCTGAGGCAGAAGGTTTATACCAGCATTCCCAGTAAGTACAACAGGAAGTCACATAAACAGAACCTTCTTAATTAAGGTCCAGACCAGTCTGCTGAAAGGTGTTTCAGCCCTTTAGGACGATGGGGCGATTTTAACATTACCTTCCCTGGTCAGTGATTTTAAACCGATCTGGAGAATACATGTGTGGAGTTTTTCACCCCCACACCAGGAACAATTACAGTCGTAGCTACCTCCTGTTTTTCTCTCAGTGTGCAGTGGTTAAGTTGGATTTATAGTTTAGTTGTTCCTGCGACCAACCAGCACCTGACTGCTCACGTTGGCTGTGAATGGGGAGTTTTGTCATCTTTATCTACATCTATATCTATATGTAAATCTACAATGGGGTCCAAAAGTCTTAGACCTCTTTAAGTGCTCTCAGGCTTCTGGACTGCATACACACACACAGACACACACACACACGTATACATGTGTCGAACGCTGCCCGCCTTTGGGGCTTTGGTTAATTGGCGGAACGAAAATTAATTAAATGATACTGACATTTTAATGTAATTTAACTGACCCAGAGAGAGAGAGAGAGAGAGAGAGAGAGAGAGAGAGAAATAACACACACATGGGCAATCAAGAGAGAGTGTGTGTGTGTGCACACGGACAGACAGAGGCGGCGAAACTGAAACTTAAAGCTACAATATTCAAGTTCTGGAAATCAAGCCAGCATGATTAGACTCGTGAAATGAACACTCCGCCCCTCCCTCTCCCTGCTCCGCCCAGCCCTGCGCCTACATCCTCATCAGGTTCGCTGTCTCAGCTGAGGTCACGCTGGTCTGTGAGTCAGCCATAGTTACGTCTTCCGGCAGCCGATACAAGCTCAAAACCTCAGTGTGAGAGGCACATTTATGTATTGATTGACAGCTGTGCGCTCCCACCCCTTTGACTTTGGCCTTCTCTGATTGGTTAGAAGGGTGAGGGGAATATCTCTGCACTGCTGTCAGGCTGCTCAGTGATTATGGAGTGCAGAATTCTTTGAGAGAACCTCTACATATAAAGATATGTTTGAAGCATATTTCAACTAAGAAATATTACGTACTGCAGCTTTAACTTTTATCTGGTATATTATTCTATGTACTTCAATGTCACACCTTGGTGGTTTTCAGCTCTATATTTGAAGCAGATGAAGGATTTTAGTCGTCGGACGTCTGGATCTGAAGTTATCAGAGAAACAAGCTGAGGAAATGTTAGACAGCTCAGCTCCCAGCTGCTGGAGACGTCCTGTCCTGTGTCACTGAAGAGTGTCGGTGAATCTCTGTTTTTTAAAGTGAAACTACTTTATTCAGTGTTTCTACTGGTTTTAATCTCCTGGTGTGTTTGTTATGGAGAGGAGGACACCTCTGTGGATAATTCAGCTGCTGGTTAAAAACTCCTGAACGTCTGCTTCATAAGTTATCAGAGAAAAAAAGCAAAATAAAGGTTAGCAGCAATCTCAGCTCCCAGCTCTTCACTGACATCTCTGTCCTCTGTACAGCGTCGGGGAAACACTGACTTTAAATGATTTGGTTCAAGCGAACAGTTTTTTTAAATGAGGCGCAGTATGATTTTGAGGAAATATCACAATTTTAAGCTGAAATTTTTTTTCACAAATTTGTTCAATTTTCTGACGGAAGCGTATATCACACATGATTAGTTCATGGACCATTGGAAATCGGACAGTTCTTTCTGTTGTGTCTATGATAAATGATGTATTTTTGGCGATTTTCAAAGAAAGGTTTTGGTTGATAAACTTTTTTAATTAGCTTTGTTTTTACTGGTTTTAATCCCCTGGTTTGTTTGTTATGGGGAGGGGGACAATAATTCAGCCAACAGCCAACACCGTCTTTAGTTATTGGTTTGATTAACAGACCCCTGGAGACAGACTACAGACTCCAGACCTTCTGACAGGAGAGGCGGACTGATCTGGACTGTGCAGGATGGTTTTCATCATGATCTGAAGAAATGTGCAGGAGTCAGAGCAGATTAGTTGTACAGCTCACTGGCTGCAGCTGCTGCTTTCATGTGAACTGTTTTCTCTGCCAACTCTTCTAGAAGCGTCTTTTCACATTCCACAGGGGGTGTGTTAATAAATTGGCTTTTTATAATAGCTTGTCTTCTGTATCAGCAGGGGCGTCTCCTCCCTCATCCAGTTTGGTTTTTATTTTGTCTTCCATTTTGACTTAATTTCTGTGTCAGCTTCTTCTTCTTCCTTAAAAGGTTGATTACTTTCTAGTTGAGATGAGAATTAAAAAAAAATACAATCAACATTAAAAAAAACAAACAAACTCCGGCTGATTTTTAATTGATTTGAAAAGGGACAGATGTTGCCTGAATTCTTGTGTCTGCTGGTTTTTCCCCTCTGACTGTTTGATCATGAAAAGTCATTTCAGCTGTAAATACCCACCTGGAGCTGCTG